CGTGAGCGGTATCGCGGCAAGGGCATCAGGCGAGGGATCAGGCTCGCATTTTCGAGAAGTTGGAACGGGTCGATCCGTCCGAGCCGGGCGGCAACGGCTGGGCCTATATATCGCCCGACGTCTGGCACGGGCGATGGGTGGCGATCTGAGCGTCGAGCATACCCGGCGAGGCGCCACCTTCACCTTCCCGCCTGCAGGCGCGATAAAAAGGGCTCCCGGGCCCTTTTCGTAATCAGTGCTGCCGTATCGTCAGCGTCGTCGGGGCAGACGCCGTGCGCCGAGGATCAGCAACAAACCGGCCACCGCGGTGAAAGGCGCCTCGATCGGCCCATTCGCCACGGCCGAGCGTGAAAAAGCTTTCCTGCGGCCAGCGGATATAACCGGGCCTGACCGATCCACAAGCACCCGTCAGCGCCAGCATGACGCCGTATAGCGATCCAGGATCGGCCCGGACCAGTTCATGGCTTAGCTTTGCGAAACCGGGACGTAGGAACGCTGCGTCGGGCCGGTAGAGCCTGACGCGGACGGCCGATCTTCTGGTCGGGATCGGTGATCATCTCGTTCCACTGCGCGACCCAGCCGACGGTACGGGCGAGTGCGAAAGCACGGTGAACATCTCAGTCGAAGCCGATCGCCGACAGGATGACGCCCGAATAGAAGTCGACGTTCAGGAACAGCTTCTTCTCGACGAAATAATCGTCGCTCAGCGCGATCTCTTCAGGCGGGCGCGGTCTCGAACAACCGGATCGTTGACCTTCAGCGCGTCGGAGCACTTCGCGCACGGTCTTCTGCATCACGGTCGCGCGCAGATCGTGGTTCTTGTGAACGCGGTGACCGAAAGCCCATCAGAGCGGAACGGATCGTTCTTGTCCTTGGCGCGCGCGATGAACTCAGGGGATGCGGTCAGGCGTGCCGATCTCGCAGCATGTTGAGCCTGGCTTCGTTCGCGCCGCCATGCCCGGACCCCAGGGCAGGCAATACCGGCCGCGATGCAGGCGAACAGGTTTCGCGCCCGACGAACCGGCCAGACGGACGGTCGAGGTCGGGCGTTCTGCTCGTGATCGGCGGCGTGCAGGATGAAGATGCGGTCCATCGCCTTTTCGACGGCCGGGTTCACCTCATAGGGCCAACCCGGAACGCCGAAGGTCATGCGCAGGAAGTTGCCGGTGGACAGCGGTTGTCCGGGTACAGGAAGGGCTGGCCCACGCTGTACTTGTACGCCATCGCCGCGATCGTCGGGATCTTAGCGATCAGGCGGTGCGACGCGATCGTGCGCTGCACCGGATCATGGATGTCGGTCGAGGTCGTGATAGAAGGCCGACAGCGCGCCGACGACGCCGCACATGATCGCCATCGGATGCGCGTCGTCGGCGGAAGCCACGGAAGAACGCCGCCAACTGCTCATGCACCATGGTATGGCGCGTGATGGTGTTGGTGAAGGTCGACAGCTCGTCCGGCTGGGCAGTTCGCCGTTCAGAAGCAGATAGGCGACTTCGAAACCTGCTGCTTTCTCGGCCAGTTCGCCGATCGGATAGCCGCGATGGAGCAGCACGCCCGTCGCCGTCGATATAGGTCAGCTCCGACCCGGCACGACGCGGTCGAGGTGAAGCCGGGATCATAGGTGAATGCGCCGGTCTGCGCATAGAGCTTGCGGATGTCGACTACGTCCGGGCCGATCGAACCCGACATGACCGGATAGTCGAACTCTTTGCTTTGCGATGTTGAATTTCGCGGTATCGCTCATGCTCAATTATCCTTCCTATCTGCGGTCATCTGGTCCCGCGATCCGACCCAAAGCTTTCCTCACGGCCCAACAGGCTGAGCACGTCGAAGATCCCCGTGACGTCTTGCGTCCGGTCGAGCAGCACGGGAGTGGCTGGGCGACCCGCCGAGTTTGACACTCTCGGCTTCGGCCACCGGCGTACCGCGATCCAAAAGCTCCGTATCCCAGTTGTGCACCGCGTCAAGCGCGCGGTGTGAACGGAAAAGAGAATATTCCGTGCCTTTTCGTCGAGGAGCCCTTCGCGGCCTCGTCCAGCGCCAGCGGACGGTGGCGAACAGGAAGCGGGCGCCATCAGCCAACTCGTTGAGAGATTGGCGGCGCGCGGCTTCAACGATGGGCATGGCGGCGATCAGCAGCGCAACGTCATCCACACCCATGCGCTGCGCGGTCAGCGCAGGAGACGCGCCTCGTCGCCCTCACGGATATGGCCGTTGAGGTTTTCCAGCTTCTTGATGTCGAAGCGCGACGGCGCCTTGCCCACGGCGGCGAGGTCGAACCACTTCACCGCCTCTTCGCGCGAAATGATCTCGGCATCGCCATGTCCCCAGCCGAGACGGGCAGGTAATTGTCGAGCGCCTCGGGCAGGATGCCCATCTCGTCGCGCGATACGCCTCGATCCCGACCGCGCCGTGGCGCTGGACAACAGCGCCATCCGATCCATGGATCAGCGGATATGCGCATAGGTCGGCTCCGGCCAGCCCATCGCCTTATAAATCGGCAACTGGCGGAAGGCGTTGTTCAGGTGATCGTCGCCGCGGATCATATGGGTCACGCCCATGTCGTGATCGTCGACCACCACGGCGAGCATAGGTGGGTGTGCCGTCGAGCGCAGCAGGATGAGATCGTCGAGTTTCGGCATTTCGGACGGTAACGCTGCCCTGCACCTGATCCTCGATCGTGACCGAGCCTTCGCGCGGTGCGCTGAGCAGACGACGAAGAGCTGACCCTCGGGTGCGGTCGCGGATCGGCATCGCGCCAGTATGAACAGATGCCGCAGCAGCTGCTTGGCGGCCTGCGCGGCCTCCGCTGGCGGTGATCTTTCCGCGTCATGTAGTAGCGCGATAGGCGGGCCGCGCTCCATCATCGCGGGCGACCTCGGCATGGCGGTCGGCGCGGCGAATCAAACACCGCGTCGCCGTCCCAATCCGGGCCAGCCAGCGCATGCCAGTCCGGGATCGCACGGATCGCCGGGTTGGGTCGAGCGGACCCGGTCGGTATCCTCGATGCGCAGCAGAACTTACCGCCATGGTGACGGGCGAACAGCCAGTTGAACAGCGCGGTGCGCGCCGCCGATAGAAGGAACCTGGTCGGCGACGGTGCGAAGCGGGTTACGACCGCATTGGCGTCCGCCGTCAGGGGCGGGGGCGATTTCATGTGTTGCGCTCAACCGCGCATACTCCCAAGCATAAGATCCGATGGGCCCATTCAGCCGCCGCAGCCCCAGCAGCATCAAGCGCCCCGCCGCCAAATGCCGCGCTTCGCCGATGGGCTCGATCTCGTGCGGGCCCTGGCGATCGACTGGAGCAGTGGGCGCAGGTGGAGCGGACCCAGCTTCCGCTTTGACGCCGGTCTGCACCGGGATGGGGATCGCTTCGTGGTTCGTGCTGCCCTGACGCGTGGGGGTGGACGGCGTCATTGTGCCTGCTGGCGGCGATCGCGGTAGCGGTGGCGGCGACGCTGGCAAATGGTGGACGGGCGGCGCGGCTGGTCGCGAGCATGGCGCTGTTGATAATGGCCGGACTGTCGCTGGTCTGGATACGCGCCGGAATCACTGGCGGCCCCGATCCTGGGTCGCGGGCGATTCCCGCCGATGGTGGCACGGGTCGAAACCGTCGATCATCTGGCGGCTCGGCAGTTGCGGCGCCGTGATGCTCTTCATCAGCTCAGGCGCGCGATGGACGCGGGCGGCCGATCACCCTGCCGCCGCGTATCCGTGTATCCTGCCGACAATGATGTACCTGCGGGGCTGGGCCGGGCGCCTGTGATCCGGTTGTGGGTGCGGTTGATGCCGCCAGCAGCGGGGCCGGTCGCGCCAGGCGGCTATGACTTTGCCCGCGCCGCACGGTTTCAGGGGATCGGCGCGACGGGACGCGGTTTGCGCCAATCACGATCCTGCGCATCGCAGCAGGAAGACGGCCTGCGTCAGCGCTTGTCGCGGCGCATCACCGAGCAGGTGGCCGGCTTGGCGCGGGCAGGATCGCGGCGGCGTTGGCGACCGGCGATGTCGGGGCGATCGGGCAGGCGGATGCGGAGGCGATGCGGCGCGCCGGTCTCTGCGCACTCCTGTCGGTCAGCGGGGCTGTATATCACGGCGGTGGTCGGCATCGTCATGACGATCACCATCCGGCTGCTGGCGCTCTGGCCCCGCTGGCGGTTCGGGTGGCTGCCCCCTGATCGGGGGCACTGGCGGGGGCGTTAGCGGGCGATCGGCTATACCCGCTGACCGGTGCCGAAGTACCACGATCCGATCCTGCGTCGCCGCGATGCTCGTCCCGCGGCATCGGCCTTTGGGGCGCGAGGCGATGACGTTGCGGCTGGTCGCGGCGGGGGCGTTGATCGTGCTCCTGTTCCGCCTGAAGCCTTAATGGGGCGAGCTTCCAGCCATCCTTCGCCGCGATCACCGCCATCATCGCCCTGCACGAGCATCCCGTCGCGCGCCGTTGGTTTGGGGCGCATCCCGATTGGCGTTGGTCGATCGTCCGGCAGGGTGGCGCCTTTGCTGGTCACCGGGCTGGTGGTCGAGGCCGCGCGATGCCGATTGCGATCTTCCACTTTCACAAGGCGGGGCTCTACGGCGCGTTCGCCAATATCGTGGCGATCCCGTGGACGACCTTCATCGCCATGCCGATCGAGATGCTGGCGCTGCTCTTCGAGCCCTTGGGGTTGGCGGGGCCGTTGTGGCATTTGCTCGGATGGGCGTTGGGAGCCTTGTTGGCGTGGCGCATTATCGCGGCGCTGCCGGTGCCGCATTTGGTTGCCGGTCGCCTCCTGATGGGCCTTGCCACGGCAGTCGGTGGAGGGCTTTTGGCTGGCGTCATGGCGACGCGGGCGCGGTGGATGGGCGTACCCTCATATTAATGGGATCAGTCGAGATGCTGATGGCGCCATCGCCCGATCTGATCGTAACGGGGATTTGGCGCCATGCGGCGATCCGCACGGACCACGGCATGGCGCTGCTGCGTGAGCGGGCGGGGATTATATGCATGACCCCGGCGAGATGAGCGGATCGCAGGCCGAACTGGTCGCCTTTGTCCGATCATGGGCGGTGCGGCCTGATGTTTGCGTAACGCAGCTGAGGTGGCAGGGCGGCTTTGGCGCATCGGCGCGACGCGGGTGGTTACAACCCGCCTTGGGTCAGCAGTCGTCGGCGTCGCCGCGTCGATATTATGATTGCCGACCGGCGTTTGCCGAGGTCAACCTGCTGGCTGAAGCTGGATGCGCCGACTTTGCGGAAAGCGGGTGGGGGCGACCCCATGTATTTGATCCACCGCGTGTCGAAACGGTCAATAAGCCGGGCGATGGGCATCCGTGGCGGCGTTTCAAAGGCGGAGGGGCGTAAAGGATGGTCTTTTACCCCACTATTACGGAGGGGCCGCCACCCAATGGACCTCAGTGGCGATCGACAATGCGTTGTTTCTTACCAGTTTTTCCAAGCCCGGTCTGGGGAATGGACCATAGGAAGCATGAATTGCTGGGGCTGTCTAGATCGAAAAGCCAGCCCGTACTTGCGCACTGGTGACACCCTTCCGTCAGGCCTGGCTCGCCACCTCCCTGGGGAGGACAAGCGCCCGCTCGATCGCATCGGAGTCATTCTGACCGTCATGGCGAGCGGATCCGAGCTATCGCCGTGAGGATGGGATATTATAATCTGCTTCTGTTGGCTTGCCGAGACGTTGCGTTTCGGCACGCCCAGCCTCCGTGCATCAGGCCGAATGCCCGCACGCCTGACACTCCCGCGATGACGGCGATCGCCCATCACCCGCGACGAACCCTCAATCGTAACGGCGCAAAATCCCCGGACAGCTTGCCCTGCACCCGGACCTGCGCCGGCGCATAACGTTGCGGGTCATAGGCACGGTTGGCAGGGGTCGAGCGGACCATCGAGCCTTCGCGCCGAAATATTTCAGCGTCGCCTGACTCATCGATCAGCGCAACGACGATCTGCCTGTCGCAGGCCACATCAGTGCGGCGGATCAGCGCATAGTCGCCGTCAATATACCAGCCCTCGACCATCGAATCGCCTGACTTCAGCGCATAATGCTCACCCGATCCCAGTAGTGCGGCGGGCACGGCGAGCATCGAGTTGCCCTCGAACGCCTCGTCAGCTTACCGGCGGCGATGCGGCCATGCAGCGGATTTCCACCACGTCGTTGGCGGGCTCCCCACGGTGCGGGCCGAAGGGTTACGGACATTGCCGGCCGTCGCCGCCAGGGGCGCTGGCCGGCTTTTCCGGCGGTCCGGCATCCGCAACACCTCCAGCGCACGGGCGCAGTTGAACCCAAGCGGCGGATGAAGTTGCGTTCTTCGAGCGCGGGAGATCAGCCGGTGGACCCCGACTTGGACTTGAGGTCCAGCGCCTCCTTCATCTCCTCAAAAGGACGGCGAGACACCGGTTTCCTTCAAGCGGTCATTGATGAAGCAGACAAGCTCATGCTGCTTTGCGGTGAGCATCGCGATCCTCCGTCCAGAACAGACGTGGAACTTATATGGAACGGAAAGGCTTGCGTCAAGCGAGCATCAGGATTTCCGCCGAGTCGCCGGCGCTGGCTGGCGGCGCATGCGGTGGGCGGATGATCAGGCACGTCGAACGGGCCGGGGTCAGTAGCATAGAGCTGTCTTGGATCGCGGCGGCATGGACGCGGCCGTCGACCATCGCGGCGCGCAGATAGTCGATCCGTGGGCCATTGGCGGGCAGATCTTCACCGAGCATGGCCGGAATGGGCGTGGGAAAGGGATCGGCCGCGCCCGCCAAATGCGCGATCAACGGTTTTGACGAACAGGATATGGCGGTGACGAAGGCGGATACCGGATTGCCTGCAGGCCCAGCATGACGACGGCGGCTCAAAGCGCCTCGCCATCATCGGTTTGCCGGGGCGAAGCGCGATCCGCCAAAAAGTCGATGCTGCCACCCGCAGCCTTGGAGCGCGGGTTGACTAAATCATGATCGCTGACTGACGCGCCTCTGGTGGTGACCAGCAGATCGGCGTCGACACGGCCAAAAGCCTCGTGCAGCCGCTCCAAATTATCGGGCAATATGCCGATCAATGATGTCGACCGGTAGGTCGGCGAGCACGCCGCCAGCATCGCGCCGTTGATTCGGGCAGGGCCGGAGGATCGGTCGCCAGGGCGACGAGTTCGTCCCCCGTCGCGGTGATGGCGACCCGCACGCGGGGCCGAACAGGGGAGGGTGGATGGCTGCCGTGGTCGCCGCAACGGGCGATCCCGCGCGGGCGTCAACCGCTCCCCCGGCGGCGATCAGGCGGTCACCGGTGGTGAAATCGAGTCCCTTTCGCCGGACATTATGGCCCGCGATGCGCGGGGCCTTCGCCGGCGAGGATCAGCGTAGCTTCATCGCGCGCGGCTTCTTCCTGCACCAACACCGTGTCGGTGCCCGGAGGGCGGCGCCGGTGAAGATCCGCGTGGTCTGGCCCTGTTCGACCGACCTGGAATAAGGCCGCCCGCGGCGCTCTACCCGATCACCGTCTGGGAGGCCGGGCATGTCGGCGAAGCGGATCGCATAGCCGTCCATCGCGGACAAGTCCGCTGGCCGGCTGGGTGCGGCGGCGAGCACATCCTCGGCAGCCCAAGGGCCGGCCGCTTCGCGCAAAAGGGGCTTCGATAACGGGCGATCAGCGGCCAGTGCGATCCAGGCGCTGCTGCGCTTCGGCGATGGGTGTGAGAATGGCGGTCACTCCTGTTGGCGGGAAAGACGCATCCAGGACGCCCGCGTTCCGGCGTCAGGCGTGCCAGTCGCCGACTTGCCGCCGATCTTCGACAGCAAGCGAATATCGCCGACCGTCATGCGCTTATCCAACGCCTTTGCCATGTCATAGATGGTGAGTAGCGTCACCGACACGGCGGTCAGCGCTTTCCATCCCACTCCCGGTCTGCCCGGCGGTGGCGGCGGTCGCAGTGGCGGTGACGCCGCTATCATCGAGGTCGAGTTCGATCTCGACCTTGCTGAGCGGCAGGGGGATGGCAGAGCAGGATCAGGTCGCTGGTCTTCTTGGCGGCCATGATCCCGCAACCCAGGCGACTGCCAGCACGTCGCCTTCTTCACCCGCCCGGCGGCAATCGCGGCGACAGCGTCGGACGTCATGGTGATGCGCCCTGCGCTGCAATGGCCTGACGCTGGGTCACCACCTTGTCCCCGACATCGACCATGCGGGCGATCCATGTTCGTCGAAGAGATGGGTAAAGGCCGCTCATCCGACCAATGCGCGGGTCGCCGCCTCGACATCATGCTGGCGCATCAGCGCCTCGCCGATCAGGAAACAGTGGATGCCATGCTCGGCCATCGCGTCAAGATCGGCGCTGGCTAGCCAGCCTCGGCGGCGGCGACGAAGGTGCATGGCAGGGGGCGCGATCGACGGATCATCATAGGTCCGCTGAAAAATCGACGGAGAAGTCCCTCAGATCCGCGGTTCACCCTGATCAGCCACGACTTCGAGCCGCGCGGCGCGCGCCCATCTCGGCGGTGTCATGCACCTCGACCAGCGCGTCCATGCCGCATTCGATCGCGGCCGCCTCGATCTCCCCATCTGCGTATCGTCGAGCGCGGCGACGATGATCAGGATCGCGTCGGCACTCAGTGCGCGCGACTCGTGGACCCTGCCACGGATCGACCATGAAGTCCTTGCGGAGCACCAGGATCGGATACCGCCGCGCGCGCCTTTCCCAGATGAGCATCCACCCACGAACCAGCGTTCGTCGGTCAGGACCGACAGACAGGCGGCACCCCCTGCCTCAGGCGCGGCATGGGCGGGCGGATCGAAATCGGCGCGGATCAGCCTTTGACGGGCTGGCCTTCTTCACTCGGGCGATCAGGGCATGGTCCGGTCTTGGCGTCGAGCGCAGCGCGGAAACCACGCGCGGGCGGAAACCTGCGCGATCGCGCGTCGAGATCGGCATGCGACATCGTCGCCTTGCGCGCGGCGACATCGGCACGTTTGGTTTCCAGAGGATGCGGTCGAGCATCGTCATCGATAAGCAATCCATTGATCGAGAAGCGCGGCTGCCGCACCGCTGTCGATCGCGCGGGCGGCGGCCACGGCCCGGGCCAGATCGGCCAGGCGCTCCGGCGACCAGCAGCGCGGCTGCAGCATTGAGGAGAACGGCGTCGCGATAGGCGCCCGGCTCTCCGGCGAGCAGGCAACGAAGCAGCTTGCATTGTGCGCGCGTCGCCGCCACGAATGGCGGTGATGGGATGACGGGGAAGCCCGGCATCCTCGGGGGTGATGGTGCGGGGGGCAGTCACGGCCGACCGGAGACGGTGATGCTGGGTCCGGCGCCCGACAATTCGTCAGTCCTTCCTCGCCCGAGACGACCAGCGCAGCCTCGGCGCCCGTTTGCTCCAGCGCTTCGTTGGCATAGACCGGAGCATAGTCAGGAGCAGGCGATGCCGATCAACTGGCGGCCGACATGCGCGGGATTGGCGAGCGGGCCCATCCAGGTTGAAGATCGTCCGCCGCCCGATCTGGCTTCCGAATGGGCGTGATCCGCGCCATGGCGGGATGGTGGTTGGCGGCGAGAGAAAGGCGATGCCGATATCAGCGGTCGGGTTTCGCCTGCGCCATTTCGCTGCCCGCGCGCTACATATCGGGCCGAGAACCTCCAGCGTGTCCGGCGGCCTCGCCTGAGGAAGCGGCACGATTGCCATGCTTGGCGACCGGTACGCCCGGGCTGGCGACGACCAGTGACACGGCGGGTGGAGACGTTGAGGTATGATGCCCGTCGCCGCCCGTGCCCGCAGAACGATGTGCCGGCCGGGCGCCTCGATCGATCCTGCTGGCGCATGCGCGTGCAAAGGCCTCGGCTATTTTTCGATCGAGGTTCGCCGCGTTCGGTCAGACCGATCAGAAAGGCGGCGATGGCGTCCTCGCAGCCCGTCCGCCAGGAATATCGGCAAAGGCCGCCGCCGCGCTTTCGCGTGACAGCGACCGATCGTGTCGGGCAGCAGCGTGGTGCAGGGTCACGCGTCCTGTCCGACCGGGGACGCAGCCGTTCGGAGCAGGTCGTGCGCCACGCCGGCCTCGCGCAGGAAATTGGCGAGCATCGCACGGCCATATTCGGTGGCGATGCTCGGTGCGGAACTGCGCCGTGGATCGGCAGGGTCTTGTGACGGAAGCCCATCACCGTCCCGTCCTCCGCGCGCGCGTTGACGACTGTCGTCGGCACGTCGTTGACGATCAGCGAGTGATAGCGCGTTGCGGTGAAGGGCGAGGGGAGGCGGAATAGCCCTGGTCCGTCGTGCAGCACCGGCGAGGTCTTGCCATGTAGATCAGCGCCGCTGCGCCTGGCCGAGCCGAAAAGTAGCCGATCGCCTGATGGCCTGCATACGCCCAGCAAAAGCGCCGGCCGGCCTCAGCGGCGGCGGCGACCGGGTCTAGCGACGCCCGCCTCGGTCGGCGTGCAGGGGCCGGGGAAATGAGGAAAGCCTGCGCACCTGACGAAAGCGCTTGGCCCGCCGAGATCCGCATCATGCGGACGACCTCCACCTGCTGCCCAATTCCCTGAAGATAATGGACGAGGTTCCGGGTGAAGCTGTCGTAATTGTCGACGACCGGGATCATGGGACTGCCATAGACGATCGTGCGGGGTTTTAACGCCCCGCTTTCCCTTTTGCGGTGAGTGTGGCCGTAATTTCGCCCGAATGCGGTCCGTCTGGACAGATCGTTCAGCATGGAGCCATGCGCCGTGTCTGACGTTAGGATATCAAAGGAGTCCTGTCGCCATGGTTCGAGCCGCCCTGATTGCCGCCCTGTTTTTGTCCCGGGGACGCCTTAGCCTGGGCGGCACCGCAGGATCAGCAGGTTGCCACCGGACAGCCGCCCAAGCGCGTGCGCAACGACGCTGACCGGCGATCAGAAATACCCCGAGAGCACGGCGGAAGAGGTCGTGGTCTGCGGCCGTGACGACGAGCCCTATCGCATTCCCCAAGGCGTTGCGCGACGATCGGCCGATCCCCCCGCCCAGAACCAGAGCTGGTCAATCGCGCGGCGACCATGGACCAAAGTCAGGCGGGTGGCCGGCGGAATCCCGATACCTACCGCCCGGTGGGCACCGGTGGTCAGAGCGGCTGCAGCATGTTGTGGAACCAGCAATATCGCGCCGAGCGTCGGGCGCGCAGAAGGCCGAGGCCACGCCGCCGGCCGCCGACGGGATTGATCGCTGGCTTTGAGCCAACACCTGCCCATTATGCTGCACGCAAGCGGGAAAGCCGGGGCCCAGTTTCCAAGCCGCTGCGGTGAAACGGCAAGCAGAATAATCGAGGCGTACTGGAAAATCCAGGCCCCCGCCTCCACGGGTGCCGGTTACGACCCAAATCTCGGCAGATTTATGCGGCAGGTAGTCCGCCCGCCTGAAGGCTTCGTCGACGCCGCGCCCTACTGCCCGGAAATTTCCTTCGTCCGCTCGCGCGCATCGCATCCTTGCCGCGCCAGCATCGCACCGGGCCTTCGCCTCGCATTCCCGCTGCTCATAGGCCGGATCGCTATCGCGACGATGCCCGCACCCGCCCGGACATGGATGGTGCCATCCTTGACCACGGCGGTACGCAGCACGATGCACGAGTCCATCGACCCGTCGGGCGAAATAGCCGACGCCGCCGGCATAGGCGCCGCGCCGTTCAGGCTCCAGTTCGGCGATGATCTGGCAGGCGCCGGACCTTGGGCGCGCCGCTGACCATACCGGCGGGAAATCCGGCGAACAGGGCATCGAGCGCATCCTTGTCGTCCGCCAGACGGCCGACGACGTTGGAGACGATGTGCATCACATGACTATAGAATTCGACCGTATAGCTGTCGGTCACCCGCACGCTGCCCGCCGGGCTGCGCGGCCGACATCGTTGCGGCCGAGATCGAGCAGCATCAGATGCTCCGGCGCACGCTCCTTCCGGTCGGCGAGCAGGCTGTCGCGATTGGCCATCCGGCACCGTCTTCCCGCGCGGACGCGTGCCGCGATCGGCCGGATCGTCACTTCGCCATCGCGCACCCGCACCGATTTCGGGGCTCGATCCGATTGCGCGAAAAGCCGGGCAGGTCGAAGATGATAGAGAAGGTGACGGGTTGATCCGGCGCAGGCTGCGATAGAGTTCGAACGGCGGCAGGGCGAAGGGCGCGGAAAAACGCTGTGCCAGAACGGCCTGAAAGATGTCGCCCGCGACGATATAGTCCTTCGCTCGGGCCACCATCTCGGCATAGCGCCTGGCGGGCAGGGCGGGGTGTAGGCGGGTTCGGGCAGTTCCGCGCGCACCGGCGCCGGCAGGGAGCGTCGAGGCCAGCCCGCGCGGCGGTCGCGTCCAGCCGATCCTGCGCTTCGGCGACCGCGCGAGCGGATGATGCCCGAACCGGGCCAGACCGGCGCGACCAGATAAGCGCGTCGGCCAGCCGGTCGAACACCGGGATCACCGTCGGCCGGACGAAGATCGCGTCGGGCAGGCCAGAAGCGGATCGGCGGCTGGCTGAGGCAGCGTCTCGACCAAAGCCGACCGTCTCATAGCCGAAATAGCCGACCGGGCAGGCCAGCGCCGAGGGCAGCCCCTCCGGCACATCGGCGCGGCATTCCGCGACGAGTTGGCGCAGCGCCTCCAGCGTCGGCGCGGTGCAGGGCGTGAAGGCGTCGCGATCGCTCGCCCAGAAGGCGGTTGATCGCCGCGTCATGGCCATGCACGGAAGACCAGATCGGGGCGAGGCCGATCAGGCTGTGGAGCGCCCGCGCGTCGCGCCGCCCTCGACCGATCGAGCAGGAAAGTCGCCGCGGCCTGGCTCTGGATCAGCTTCAGCGCGGCGGCGACCGGCGTTTTTCGGTGTCGGCGATCTGCCTACGCCAGATCAGCGCAGGACGACTGCCAGCCAGTTATTGACGGCGTCGGAGGCGTATGCTCAGTTATCGGAACCACCATTGTTCAGCAGCTCGGCGCGGACCTTGGCGACCGCCTTGGGATCGGTCTTGACGCCGACCGTGTCGCGTACCGCGCGGGCGAATTGCAGAGACATATTCGCGGCCGATCAGGCGACCGATATCCCGGCGTGCGCACGGATCGCGGCGGCGTTACCTGGTACTGCCCGCATCGATTTTCGTCACGCGGATGATGTACCAACCCTCATTGGCCGGAGCCTCAGAGTCTTGGCCTTGTTCTGCGGCATCGAGAACAGCAGCGCGAGTGGGGGCGGCGGCGGGCGTGTTCTGCGCGGCAGGCCAGGATCGCGACGCGACGCGGCGATCGGGCGGACCGGCGGCACCCGCCAGCCCGGTTTCAGCGCCTGCGCCATCGGCATGCCCTTGTTCACCTTGGCGAGCACGGCATTGGCCAGCTGCGCGCAGCGGCGCGGGCACGGTCGGCGGTCAGGTCGGCGATCACCTGCTGGCGGACCTGGTGCCAGCGGGCGCGGTGCGGAACGCTGGATCTGGCCGACGCCGACAACGGCAAAGCCGCCATCCCGCCGATCGGTACGATCTGCGGCGCATCGCCGTCTTCGGCGGTGAAGGCGGCGGTGATCATCGCGCGCTGTTCGGCCGAGGGTTGGAAGGCGGGCGCATCGGGGGCAGCACCTTGCGCGGCGGTCATTGCCGGGTGGCCTGCGCCTGAAGCTTGCGATCGGCGTGGCCTCATCGAAGGTCGCATTGCCCGACAGCGAATCCTCGATCGCATTACGCATCTCACCAAGCCCGCGGCGGTCTGCTTCTGCTTAGTCCGTTCGGTCACGATTTCGGGCGGGCCTGCGCCAGCGTCTTGCCCGGAACACGGGTCACTGCATCGACACGCGCGACGACGAAGCCGAGCGGACCCGGATCGGGCCGACGACCTGCGCCCTGCGCCGCGCCGAACACCGCATCGGCGACGGCCGGGGCCTTCTGCGTCGTATAGGTCGCCTTGTCGACCCCTTCTGAACGGAGGCCTCAGCCCGGCAGCGCGTGCCGCCTCGGCGGGCCTGCACCACCTTGGCACGGGTGGCCAGCGCATTGGCGCCCGCCTGATCGGCGACGTCACACGGGTCACGTCGCGCTTCTGGGTCGCGGCGTAACGCGGCGTTGGTCTGATAATAGCGAGCGATCTCGGCGTCGGTCGGCGCGGACTGAGCCGCGATCGCCGACGGCGTGACCAGCGCATAACGCACGACGCGACGCTCGGGCAGGGTATAGCGCTGGACGTTGCGGCTGTAGAAGGTCTGGATATCCGCATCGCTCGGTGCGCTGCCGGCATTGACCAGACGGGTCGGGATGTAGCCGACCTCGCCTGCCGCTTTCGAGCAGCAGCGAGGCGTAAAGGCAGCGCCATCTGGCTCGCCATCTGCGTGGCACCGATGGTCGCACGGTCAGCTGCTGTGTGAACAGCGTGCGCTGCAGGTCCGTGCGGACCTGCGCGTCGGTCATCTTCCGTTGCGCCAGAAGCTGTTGATAGAGCGCCGGGTCGAAACTGGCCATTGGGGCCGCGGAACGCCAGGATCGAGGCGATCTGACCATCGACCAGTCGGCGGGGAGACGACCATACCACGGTCCTTGCCAAACTGTTCGAGCGACAGGCCGGTCACTTCGCGCTGCAACACGCCCTGAACCCGCCGGCGGCGATGAACTGCGCCATGTCGAGGTCGGCTGTTCCCGGGCGATAGGCGGCGACCTCGTTCTGCGCGGCGGTGCGGAGGTCGTCGACGGTCACCTTCGCGCTGCCGACTTTCCCCACGGTCCGAGCCGGTCAGGCCGCCGGCCATCCCGCGATATTGGACACGTCACCGGCGGCAAAGGGCGATCGCGATGACGCCCAGCACGATGAAGGTCGATGACGCCGGCCTTGGAATTGATGATCCGGCGGAAGAAGCTGAGCATGGACGACCGATCGGCAAGGATAAAACGCACGTGCTTTTGGGGACGCGCGCCCGCATCGCTTGTGCCGCGCGCGCGATCCGCTATCGATGTTGAACGCGTATAACAGTCGACTTATAGGGGCCCTGAAATGGCACGGCGCAAACTGGTGGCGGGCGCAATTGGAAGATGAACGGTTCCCGCGCGGCACTGGCTGAGCTGGACGCCGTCGCGGCGGCGGCTCAGGCGGCACGGGCATCGACGTGGCGATGGCGGTCCCCTTTACCTTGATCGCGCCGGCGCCGAGCGGGTGCCGAGCCTGTCGATCGGCGCGGAGGATGTGCATGGAGCGCGACCGGGGGCGAAGTACCGGCTGCGTCTCGGCGGGGATGGTGAAGGAGGCGGGCGCGCTTCACCATCGTCGGCCATTCCGAGCGTCGCGCCGATCAGGGCGAGACCAGCCAGACGTTTGGGCCAAAGGCGGCGGCGGCGCATCGCAACGGGCTGCAGGTCATCCTGTGTGCTGCGGCGAAACCGAGGCAGAGCGCAATGCGGGCCGCGCCGAGCGGGTGGTGCAGGCGCAGATCGAGTAATCCGGTGCCCGACAATGCCGATGGCAGCTGGTTCACGCTGGCCTATGAACCGCGCTGGGCGATCGGCACCGGCCAGACCCCGACCGTTGAGGAGATCGCGAGCATCACGCCATTGCGCGTGCCAAGCTTGCGGATGCTGATCGGCGATGCGGCGGATGAGTGCGTATCCTCTATGGCGGCTCGGTGACGGGCGACAATGCCGCGACGCTACTCGCGGTTGAGAATGTCGATGGCGCGCTGGTCGGCGGGCAGGCCTCCGGGCGGCCAAATTCGTGCCGATCATCGAGGCGGCAGCGCGGTTGTGATTTCGGGGTGAGGGCGGGCGTCCTTCGACTCCGCTCAGCGTGAACGGCTGTTTGATTGAAACCCAACCCCGTTCAGCCTGAGCGTAGTCGAAGGCCACGCCCCGACCGCGCCTCAGGCCCCGGGAATACCGCTCCTTCAACATCCGATACGCCGCGCGCAGGGCAAAAGCATCGCCTCCTTGGGGCCCGGCTTGCGCGACGGCCGCCGAGCGAACACGTCGAGATGCGCGGGCCGTGTCCTTCGGCACGAATCGGCGCAGGAACAGCGCGGCGGTGATCGCCCCGCAAAGCCGCCATCAGGGCGCGTTGACCATGTCGGCAATGTCCGATTTCAGCATCTCGTCATAGGCGTCCCCAGAGCCGGGCAGGCGCCATACGGGGTCGTCCTCTTTCGCCGCCGCCGCGAGCAGATCGGTGGCAAGCCGTTCATCGTCGGTGAACAGCGGTGGAAGGTCCGACCTAACGCCACGCGCGCCGCGCCGGTCAGCGTGGCGAAGTCGAGGATCAACTCTGGCTTCTCCTCACCCGCCCGGGTCAGCGCATCGCCCGGATCAGGCGACCCTCGGCATCGGTATTGGTGTTCTCGACGGTCAGGCCCTTGCGCGTCCGCAGCACGTCGCCGGGGCGGAAGGACGCACCTGATACCGCATTCTCGACCGCCGGGATCAACAGGTGGAGCCGCACCGGCAGCTTTGCCGCCATCACCAACCCCGCGAGTGCCAGCGCATGCGCCGCGCCGCCATATATCCTTCTTCATCAGCCGCATGCCGGCGGACGGCGATATCGAGCCCGCCGGTGTCGAAGCACACGCCCTTGCTGACGATCGCGATGCGCGGATGGGCAGGATCGCCCCATATCCGCTCGATCAACCGGGGCGCGCGCTCGCGTGGCGGCCCGGCCGACCGCGTGGATCATCGGATAGTCCCGATGCCAGCGTATCGCCCGCTGTCACCGTGATCTGCGCCATGATGGAGACGGGCGAGCGCTTCCCTTCCCGCTTGGTTCCGCCGGGCCGAGATCGCCCGCGCCGGTATTGACCAGATCGCGGACCAGCGCGGGTGGCGGTGGCGATCCGGATATTACCCTCCCGGTGCGCGACGTCACCGGTCAACAGCACGGCCGGTCGCCAGCGGCCTCGCCCCTGCGATAGCGGGTGAAGCGATACTGGCCGAGCAGCCAGCCCAACGCGTTGGCACCGACCTCCGCCTCGTCGAGGCGATAGGTGCCTTCAGGCGGGTCTCGCCAGCTTGGCCAACGCCAGGGCGAGGCGGGATCGGTCACGCCCGCGACGACAGCGACGCCATCGCCGCGTGGCACCAGCAGATGGGTATCGGCTTTTGGCTGAGAAGCGCTGCGCCGTCGCCAGTATGCGGGTGGTGGCGGGTTGTTACTCCAGCCAGCCGCTTAAAGCCGTCGGCGGACGGAGGGTGATCGTCTGGGCGGCCTGACCGCGATCGGGCTGAAGCAGGGGGGCGAAAGTCGGTCATTCGACAGGGGCTCACCAGAAATTGTTCGATGCGGCCCTGCGCACCGGGCTCGGCATGGGTGCTGATCCGCAGGCTGTGGCTCGGATAGGTCACGCGGTAGGCGCGGTTGATGAAGCCACCGCGCAGCCGGGTCTGCCGACCCGCTCCGATCTTGGTCGGGCTGCCCAGCGGCGACAGGCTCGACTGATAGTCGGCGAGCGTCGATGGCGGGAAATAATAGGCCGCATCCTCGGTCAGCAGCAGGCGGTCGAGGTCCAGCCGGTCTGCACCGGCCATAGACCTGCTTCGTCCGACCAGGCGCAGCGGCGTCGGCATTGTTCGTCTGTGGCTGGGGGAGGATGACATCGGCGATGCCCTTGGCGATCCGGCCTTTGCGCGTCGGCGAACCGAGCATTGACCGCGACGACGATCGCCGCCTTGTCCTCGGGGTACACGATATTCTCGGTCAGGAAGCCCACCGCCTCACCGCTATGTTCGACGATCCGGCGACCATCGGTCACACCGATGCCGACGCCCAGCCCGTATTGGTGCTGGAGCCGTCGGCCAGCTTGATTGGCGTTTCCTGCTCCGCCCAGTCCTTGGCCGGCGGCAGCGTGCGGTTCATCCGGGCAATGTCCCACTTCGCCAGATCCTGCGGCGGCATGGACAACTCGCCCGCCGCATAGAGCCAGTTGGGCGCGGCTGGCGTCTCGACCCGCACGGGGCCGAGCGCGTGGCGCAGATAGCCCTGCGGGAAACCGGGGCCAGGATCGCCTTGTCTCGTCCAGAGCGCGGATGCCGAGCGGGCGGAAGACGCGGGTCTGGAGGAACTGAAGCAGCGGCTCACCTGAGACCTTCTCGACGATCATGCCGGCGACGACATAGCCGGTGTTGGAATATTGCCACTGGGTACCGGGCTGGAAATCGAGCGGCGCCTTGGCCCAGCGGGTCGACAATGCCTTTGCGGCGTGGTCGGGTCGCCATCGCCTTGAAGCTGTAATCCTGCGGCCAATAGTCGCGCAGGCCCGAGGTGTGGCTGAGCAACTGGCGGATGGTGATCGTGTTGCCACCCGTGATGCCGGGGATATACTTGCCGACCGTGTCGTCGAGCGACAGCTTGCCCTCGTCCGCCAGCCGGTGGACAGCGGTCGCCGTGAACTGCTTCGACACGGGAGGCGATCTGATAGGGCAGGGTCGGATCGGCGGGTCTTTCTGCCCTCGAATTGCTTGCCATAGGCCTTGGCGAGCACGGTCTTGCCCCCGCGCACGACCGCGATCGAGGCGGAAGGGACGCCGGTATCGGCCAGCGTCTTCATCACCAGCGCATCGATCTTCTGGGTTTCGGGCCGTGGTGAGCGCACGGGCGAGCAGCGGGGCAGGGGCGATGAACGCGATCGCCGCCAGCAAATGTCAGTATCTCATGCGCGCCAAGGAAGCAGGGTTTGCAGGGGGCGGTGCAACAGGGTGTGGGCGTGGCTCCGCCTCGAATGGCTTTGCAAAACTACCACCGTTGCGCCTGAGCGCAGTCGAAACCATGCTAGCACATTCGCCACGCGTGATCCGGGGTTACGTGGACGGGGTTTCCCTTCGCCTTCGACTGCGCTCAGGCTGAACCGGATTTTTTACCACCGGCGGAGTCCGGGGGTCCAGTCGCGATGCTTTTGCGTTGGAAGAGGTATAGCATGGGATCCGGCCTTCGCCAGGTGGGTTATGGGTAAGGGCAAATGACGACCGGAACTGGCCATTCTCGGCTGGTCGATCATCTGCTGTTCGTCCATATCGCTGCAATCGCAAATGGCGACGCTGGACGGGGCATGGCTGGAATGCAGGACCGCGCGATGGAACGCGCCGCGCCATTGGGGTTATGCCGGCCGTACCGAGCGGGCATCAGCAATTTTCGTGACACGGCCCATCGTTATCGCTCTCGCGCTCGGCCTCGCGGGTGACGGTAAAGCAGCGGCATCGCGGCGACCGGGCGCTTGCGGGTGTGGTTCTCGCGCGGGTCGCCTATGTGCCGTTGTACATCTTTGGCGTCCGCTATGTGCGGTCGCTGGCCTATCTGGTGTCGATGGCGGACTGGTTGATGATGCTTATGCGTTTCCTGTGACGGGGACACCGTACAGGCCGTGCTCGTCGGCATCCTCATTTCGACTTTCACGATGTCGCTGACCGACAGATGGCCGGCATCGCGCAGGAAGACCCGCCGTCGATCTCGGGAGCGTCGGCGCTACGGCCGGTAGCAGCACCGCCTTCCTCGTCCACCGCGTCGATGATGACGGGCAGGTGCGCCTGACCTGGCGGCGACGGCGGCGAGATGGCGGCGGTCTTTCTGTGATCCGCGCGTAACGCTCTTCCTTCACCTCTTCAGGGGACGTGATCGAAGCGCATTGGCGGCGGCACCCTCGACAGGCTCGAAGCGGAAGGCGCCGACCCGGTCGAGCTGGGCTTCGTCCAGCCAGTCGAAGATACTGAAATCCTCCTCCGTCTCGCCGGGGGAAGCCGACGACGAAGGTCGAGCGGATCGCGATGTCGGGGCAGATGTCGCGCCACTGATGGATGCGCTGCAGCACCTTGGCGTCGTTGCCGGGGCGCTTCATGCGGCGCAGGACCGAGGCGCGGCGTGCTGGAACAGGATGTCCAGATAGGGCAGCACCAGTCCTTCCGCCATCAAGCGGGATCACCTGATCCACATGCGGATGGGGATGAACATAATGGGCCGCACCGGTGCGATCTTGCCGAGTTCGCGGGCGAGGCCGGTCATGTGCGGCACGACCTCCTGCCCTTCCCACATCCGCGGTTTCTGCGGATGTCGATGCCATAGGCCGAGGTGTCTGGCTGATGACCAGCAACTCGCGCGCCCGCCGCGACCAGCTTCTCCGCCTCGCGCAGGATGGCGTCGGGGCGGCGGCTGACCAGATCGCCGCGCAGCGACTGGGATGATGCAGAAGCTGCACCGATGGTTGCAGCCTTGAAATCTTCAGATAGCTGTAGTGACGCGGCGTCAGCTTCAGCCCGGCGTCCGGGATCAGGTCGATATAGGGCGACAGGTTCGCGGGCGCGGCGGCGGACCCTCCACCACCTGCTCATATTCATGCGCGCCGGTGATGGCGAGCACGTCCGGGAAGCAGGGTGCGGATCGCCTCGGCTTCCCTTGCCCATGCACCCGTGACGATGACGCAGCCGTTCTCCTTGATCGCCTCGCCGATCTTCCTGAACTTTCCTCCTGGCGGAGTCGAAGCCGCAGGTGTTGACCAACACGACGTCCGCGCCGGCATAGTCGGGCGACATCTGATAGCCATCGGCGCGGAGCTGGGTCAGGGATGCGTTCGCTGTCGTAGAGATTACGGGACAGCTGAGCGAGACCATGCCGACGCGCGGCGGAGGGGGGAGTTTGGTTGCCATGGGATGCGCGCGCACATAGTCCAAATCGGACCGCTTTTCCAGATGCGCTTGCGCCATGTGGTCGACAGGCCGCACGATCCCGGCATGAGGGGCGAAGCAATAAGGGTTGGGCGTGATGCTGGCGATCGGATTGATGTCGGGGACCTCGCTCGATGCGTGGATGCTGCGCTGATCGAGACCGATGGCGAGGCGCAAGTCCGGGCGCTGGCCTTTCAGCGAGCCCTATTCCGACGCGCGCGCGCCGAACTGGCCGAGGCGACCGCGCTGGCGCTGACCTTCGAGCGGCCGCGCGCCAGTCCGCCGATCGTGGCGGCCAGCGAGCTGATCGTGCGTACCATGCGATGGTCGTGCAGAAGCTGTTGCGCGATGCCGGGCTCGCCGCCGATGCGGTCGATGTGATCGGCTTTCATGGCCAGACGGTGGCGCACCGCCCGATCGCGGCTGGACTTGCAGATCGGCGATGGCTGTGCGCTGGCGGATGCGACCGGGATCACGGTCGTGGGCATTTCGATCCGCCGATGTCACGGCGGGCGGCAGGGCGCGCCGCTGATCGGTCTATCATGCTGCACCCAGCCGGCGGGCTGGAGGCCGGTTGCCATCTTGAACCCGGCGGTGCCGCCAATATACCGGATCGGGCGTGACGGATCGCTGGTCGCCTTCTGATACCGGACCCGAACGGGCTGATCGATCATTGGATGGAGGCCGAGTCGGGTCAGCGTTTGATGCGAACGGCGCGCTGGCGGCGGCAGGGGTGGTCGAGCCGACCGTGCTCGACACGATGATGGACAATGACTGGTCTGACTTGGCCGCCGTTGCCTGACCGCAATGTTTCACCCATTCAGCCGGCGCGGGACTCTGTTACCGGCGGATGGAGCCGCGACGCTGACCGCATTCACCGCGCGGACGGTGGCGCGTGCGCTGGACCATCTGCCGGAGCGGCCGCGTCGCTTGCCGGTCGCGGGCGGCGGGCGGCACAATGCCACGATGCTGGCGATGATCGCCGCCGAGACGGTCTGACCCCGAGTCGACCGACACGCTCTGGTTGAACGGCGACGCGCGGAGGAAAGCAGGGCTTGCCTATGGCATGGCGTGCGCCGGTTGCGCGACTGCCGATCAGCTTTCCGGGCACGACTGGCGCCTGAGCCGATGACTGGCGGCGTCATGCATCACGCCGCCGGCGTAGGGGTCATGGCGGGCGCGACCGTTCGAACCTTGGCGGGAACCGGCAGCTTATCAACGCTGCGCCATACCGCTAGAGGCTCGGCGGCGGCATTTCGTTAAGCTTGCGGGGGCCGGCTTTGTCCGTGGCGGGGCTGGCCACCTGGTCGCCATGCGGCACCGCAGCGCGCCAGGGGCTGACCATGGGTTGGCATGGTGTTCGGCACGTCTTCACCACGATGGACGACAAGGTCAGTAACCGCAACGAGCAACAGCATCGCCACTCTCCCAAAGACCAGGCGACGGCCTATGCCTGTACATCGGGCAGACGGCAATCAGCGCGCGCGACATAGCGTCGATCAGCGCGCCGACATAATCGGGCCTTGCTGGTCAACTCGGGCGCGGTGCGGCCCTTGCCGTAGATAAACCGCAGAGCGGATAGGTCGAGCTGCCCAGCCCGTCTGAGTCGCGGAACCAGACGCGCACGCTGCTCCAGTCATTGTTGGGCGACACGTCGAACAGCGTGACGTCCTGTTCGGCATGTCCGCGCTCGCCATTCTGGATAGACCAATTGGCGTGGGTGAGCATCAGCACGGTCCTCGACGACGCGGCTGACCACCGATACGGCCTGAAGCGGCAGGCGGCTGGTCTTGGCGAAGACGACGACCGCGCCGACGCGGGGGGCATGTCCGCGATATTGCCCTCTGTTCGCTCCACCGGTCCGGCATCGCCATAGATCGCGATGCCGGAGGCCCGGCGGGCAAAGGGAATGCACTGCCCGACATAGTCGAGCAGCGAGCGGCAGGGGCGGGCGATGCGATCGCTACTGCGCAGAGCGACAAAGTTGCGGGGGAACGATGCCTTTCATGGTCACCATGCTGCTTTCGCAGGATTAACTTTGGACCTGCCGATATGGTTAACGCCGTGGCGGGTCGGTAAACGGGTGTTGCGTACGCCCGGTGGAGGGTACGCGCCGCCATGCCCCCTATCCCTGACGCGCGCGCTCGCGGGCTTGGAACAATTCCCAAAGGCCGCGATGCTGGGGTGAGCAATTGCGGCGCCGAAGCCGCGTGCGCGGGCGATGCCTATGAGTGGATCGTCGCCATCTACCTCGCCCCAAGGGCTCCGGCATCAGGCCGGGGGGCGATTCGATGCCGAAGCGGCGGGGCGCAGCATGGTCGAGCAGTTGGCGGATCATCCGCCAGTCGAGATCAGGGCGACACGCACCGGTCACAGCCGCGCTGGTCGGAATTGGCGAGCATCTCAAGCGTATGGCGCAATTGTGAGTGCGGTGTCGGCCTGCGCCTGTCCGGCATCGAGGGCAACGGACCGGCGGTGGAGGTCAGGTTGGCGAGAAAAGCGCGTTCATGGGCAAAGGCGTTGGACGATCGGATCAGCCAGCAGCGTCTCGATCTGGATGCCGCGCGCCATCGCATAATCGATCATGCTGGGGTGATTGCCGTGCACGGTGTACGCGCATGGACCGCATCGGTCGGGTCGTAGAGCAGGGCTCGGGGCAGCAGCAGCGCCCGGACATGCGGATGCCCGGCGCTGCCCAGCCTGCCGTGATAGCGTCGATATCACCGCGTCGGTCGCGCTGCATGTCATATGCCGTCGTGATCGTCGCGTCCGTTCCGATAAACCTCCCGCCCCCGACCGGGGAGGTACGCCGCCCTTTTGCTCCCGATCCTTGGTCCTATCCGCTTTTCCTAACGCCGGGTTTACGAATATTCGGGCGGGCGGTATTCCGACCGACGCGGGATGCCGCCCCACGGATGGGCACGCCTGCTAGATAACGCGCGCGCCATGCGCCGGGATACGGCGAACGATGGTTTGAGTGCTATGGATGCGCAAATGGGTGCTGGGTCTGGCGCTGGCTTCGGTCGGGGTCTCGGTGCGTTCGGACTGGGGGTCCGCCGGGACCATGGCCGCTGATCGGAAATAGAGAAGGTGGGCGAACTGACCTCGACCTGCGTTCCGGCAGCCCCGACCTGTCGGGATCGCAGCCGCGCGGATTGCGCCTGTCTCGCCCGACGGGACGCTGCTGACCTCGCTGCGCCCGCGCGCCGATGAGAAGGAACGGCTCGACCTCCTGGGCGCGTGACACGCGCACTGGCGAGAACGGATGCTGGTCGACTCCAGAAAGGTCGGCCTGGGCGCCGAACTGCCGGAAGCCGAAAAGATGTAGCGTGAGCGGCGCATCGGCGGGTCGAGGACTGTCGTCGCCCTATGACTGGGCACCCGATGGCAAGTCGATTCTCGTGCCGCTCGATGGCGATCTGTACCTGCCGGGCTGGACGGGCAGGTCCGCCGCCTGACCAACACGCCGGCGGCGAGCTTTGAATCCCATCGTCAGCCCCAAGGGCGGCTATGTCAGTTTGTGCTGACCAGAATCTCTGGGCCATGCCATTGGCCCGGCGAGGCGCGCGCGCTGACCAGGAGGCGGCGGCACCGTCCATTCGGCGAGGCGGGTTCGTCGCGCAGGAGGAAATGTACCGCTTTACCGGGATACTGGGTGGAGCCCCCGACGAGCGTTACATTGCCGTCGAGCGGTCTGACGATGCGCCCGTCAGGTCGCGGTCCGCGCGCGGCGATCAGGGGCTGCAGGGACCAGGTCTATGAACAGCGCTATCTGGCGGCGGGCACGCCCAATGCGCTGGTCGACCTGTACGTCATGAAGGCGGACGGATCGGGGGCGGGTGAAGGTCGATCTCGGCAGCAATCCCGACATCTATCTGCCCGGGTCGACTGGACGCCCGACGGTTCAGCGATGCTGGTTCAGCGCGAGAGCGCGACCAGAAGACGCTCGACATGCTGCGCGTCGATCCCAAGACCGGCAAGTCGACCCTATTGTTCACTGAGCGTTCGGGGCGACCGGAGCTGGCTGAACCTGTCCGACGCCTATCGCCCGATGAAGGACGGCAGCCTGATCTGGCGGTCGGAGCGGGACGGTTATGGCTATCTCTATCGCTTCGCGGACGGCCAGTGGACGCAGCTGACCAAAGGGCCTGGTCGTGACCGGCCTAGTCGGCGTCGACGAAGCCAAGGGCCGGCTCCTATTTCACCGGGCTGAAGGACGATGTGCTCGAACAGCACCCATGCCGTCGACATCGCACAGCCCAACGTCATCACCTGCCTGACTGAGCGCGCGGCTATACCAACAGCGCGTCGATGGACCCGGCCAGCCGCTTCATCGTGTCGCGCCCAGCCCACCCAGCCGACGCAAATCTATCTGGCCGATACGACGGGCAAGCGGCTGAACTGGATCAACGAGAATGCGATTGTCGCGGGGCACCTTTGGCGCGCCTTATCTCGCCAGCCACCGCGAGACGAAATTGGTACGATCAAGGCCGATGACGGCACGACGCTCTATTGGGAAATGATCACGCCCAAGCTCGTGCCCGGCAAGCGCTTACCCGTCTTCTTCCAGCATTATGGCGGCCCTGGCGCAGCCAGCAGGTGACGCGCGGCAGGGGGCGCTGCCGCACATTCGGTCGATCAGGGCTGGATCTTCTTCCAGATCGACAATCGCGGCTCGTATAATCGCGGCAAGGCGTTCGAGGATGCCATCTATCATGCGATGGGCACGGTCGAGGTTGCTGATCAGTTGGGGGCGCGAACTATCTGAAGTCGCTGCCGTTCGTTGATCCGAACAAGATCGCGACCTATGGCTGGTCGTATGGCGGCTATATGTCGATCAAGATGCTGGAGAAGACGCCGGGTGTCTATGCCGCCGCCGTGTCGGGCGCGCCGGTGACCGACTGGCAGCTTTACGATACCCATTATACAAAGCGTTATCTGGGCGACCCACGCACCGATCCGCAAAAGCTATGCGACGTCGCAGGCGATTACGGATGCGGCGAAGATCCGCGATCCGTTGATGCTGATCCACGGCATGGCGGACGACAATGTCTTCTCGACAATGCGACGGCCTTTCGCCGCCGAGATGCAGAAGACGGACACGCCGTTCGAGATGATGCTATCCTGGCCAGACCCACCGGGTCGGCGGGCCAGGCGTCTCGCAGCATCTGTGGCACACGATCCTGAACTTCCTCGACCGGACGGTGAAGGATAAGCTGACGAAGTAACTCGATCCTCCCGGTACGGGGAGGGGGACCATGCGAAGATGTTGGAGGCGTGCCGCGAGGGGGTGACCTTGTGGCGCCCCTCTCCGTCAGCGCTGGCGCTGCCACTTCCCGCAACGGGGAGGTTTACGGATCTGACACGGCATTTCTGAAGACCTTCCACCTCTGGCTGTTCCTCGACACGGCAATCAGCCATCTGACCGCCTTCATCCTCGGCACCGTGATCGGGGGCGGAGCGGCAGTATCGTCAGCGCACCGCCGGCTTCGCACCAATGCGCTGGTCGCGATCGGCGCGGCGGCGTTCGTCGATCTCGGCCAGCGGCTGGGCGGCGATGTCGAATCGATCCGGATCATCGCCTATGTCGTCTCCGGCATCGGCTTTCTGGGCGCGGGCGTCATCATGAAGGAGGGGATGAACGTCCGCGGGCTGAACACCGCCGCGACCTTTGGTGCTCGGCGGCGGTCGGGTCGATCGCGGGCAGCGACATGGTGGCCGAGGCCGTGCTGCTGACCATCGTCGTCCTCCTCGCCAACACGGCGCTGCGTCCGCTGGTCGACGCGATCAACCGCTTCCCCGTCGAGGGGCGGCATATCGAGGCGACCTATTCGGTCAGCCTGACGACCGATGCGGCGAATGCCGGCCCGGTCGGCGACCTGCTGGTCGAGCATCTGGAAGGCGCAGGGCTGCCAGTCGGCGAACTTGAAACCGAGGAACTGGGCGAAGGCCAAATGACGGTCACTGCGACCCTGACCAGCACCATCGTTGAGGCGGGCGAACTGGATCGGATCACTGATCATTTCCAGACCGTTCACGGCATTATCCATGCCACCCGGGCAGCGAGCACCCACGATTGATGCGACAGCCGGATGATTCTGCTGTCACCCCGGCGAAGACGGAGGTTCAGCGGTAACGCTCTTGCCCCTAAACCCCCGCTTGCCCTTGCCAAACGCGCACTTTCTATAAAGTTGGTGGACGCGTCCGCGCAATGACGCTACCGGCTCTACGCTTCCGAGTGGAGGGTTTAATGGGTTATCGCGTGGTGGTCGCCAGGGCGACGGGCAATGTCGGCCGAAATGATCAACATTCTGGCGGGCGGGAATTCCTGATCGACGAGATCGCGGTCGTCGCGTCCTCGCGCAGCCAGGGCGACCAGATCGAATTTGGTGAGACCGGCAAGATGCTCACCATCAAGAATATCGAGCATTTCGATCCGACCGGCTGGGACATGGCGCTGTTCGCGATCGGATCCGACGCGACCAAGGTCTATGCCCCCAAATTCGCCGCCGCCGGTTGCGTCGTGATCGACAATTCGTCGCTCTATCGCATGGACCGGACGGACGCTGATCGTGCCGGAAGTGAACTCGATGCGATCGGGATGGCCTGCAAGGCCAAAAACATCATCGCAAATCCCAACTGCTCGACCGCGCAGATGGTGGTGGCGCTGAAGCCGCTCCACGACAAGGCGACGATCAAGCGTGTCGTCGTCGCAACCTATCAGTCCGTCTCGGGCGCGGGCAAGGCGGGCATGGACGAGCTGTTCGAGCAGAGCCGCAACATCTTCGTCGGCGACCCCGCCGAGCCGAAGAAGTTCACCAAGCAGATCGCGTTCAACGTGATCCCGCACATTGACAGCTTCCCTGACGACGGCTCCACCAAGGAAGAGTGGAAGATGGTGGCCGAGACAAGAAGATCCTCGATCCCAAGGTGAAGGTCACGGCGACCTGCGTCCGCGTGCCGGTGTTCGTCGGCCATTCGAGGCGCTGAACATCGAGTTCGAGGACGAGATCTCGGCGCAGGAAGCGCAGGACATCCTGCGCGAGGCCCCGGCGTCATGCTGATCGACAAGCGCGAGGACGGCGGATACGTCACGCCGATCGAATGCGTCGGCGACTATGCGACCTTCATCAGCCGCGTGCGCGAGGACTCGACGGTCGACAATGGCCTGTCGCTGTGGTGCGTGTCGGACAATCTGCGCAAGGGTGCCGCGCTGAACGCCGCAGATCGCCGGAACTGCTCGGCCGTCGTCACCTGAAGAAGGGTTGAGAAGACCTGCTTCCTCCCTTGCAGGGAGGTGGCAGGCGAAGGCCTGACGGAGGGTATCCCGCTCTCGATAGGGTGACACCCCTCCACCAGCTTCTTGTTGTTTCCCCCTTACAGGGGAGGAAAAAGAATTCACCGCCCCATACAGCCCCGGCCGGTGCGGGGCGAAGAGGATCAGGCTGATCGCCGCCGCGCTGACCGCCGACCAAAGCGAGTTGTGGCCCGGTCACCACCGGAATGGCCAGCGACAGGATGAAGACGTCGAGCGCCACCTGCGTCATGCCCATATTCCATCCTCGCTTGCGATAGAGCCAGATGGTGATGACGTTGGTGCGCCCACGCCCGCCTGATGCCGGGCGAGCGCCAATATGCCCATGCCGATCACCCGTGCCGCCGACCAGTGGCAAAGGCTGGCGCACCGGTATCGACATGCACCGACACGCGCGTGATCGCCGATGCCGCGCCGATGCCGATATTAACCAGCACCGTCTTCACTGGCGAACCGCGCGCCCATCACCTTGTGCGCGAACAGGAAGAAGGGGATGTTGACCAGCGTGAACAGCACGCCGGCGGGCAGCGGGATCAGATAGGACAGCAACAGCGCAACCCCGCGATCCCGCCCGTCACCAGCCCCGCCGCTTTCAGGAACACCAGCCCCACGTCCAGCAGCGCGCAGCCGATGAAGATCGCATAGGCGTCTTCGAGCAAAGCTATGCGGCCGGCCGATCGGGCTGGGCGGCGGGGTGTCGGCAGGGAGGCGGTCGCTGCGGTCATCGAGGGTCCGGATATGGGGTCCGCATCCGCCCTCGCGGTCTGCTTCTGGCGGCAGTTTCGGGCTTCTACCGCATATGTCCCCTGCAAGCCAATTGGTGGGCGTGGTCGTCGGCTGACTTCGCTCAGCCTGAACGGCTGTGGGAAAACAGTCCGATCCCCAAGCCCTTTCAGGCTGAGCGAAGTCGAAGCCCACGCGCCGCGCTCAATCCGATGATACAAATTATTGGGGGTTGGCGACACGCCCGGCCCGACCATAGGGCAGGGCGATGACCATGCAGGGAGAGACACGGCCCACGGCGCTGACCGAAAAGGAGAAGCAGACGCTGCGCCTGATCGTGCGGGGCCATGACGCCAAGTCGGTCGCAGCAACTCGACCTATCGGTCCCATACCATCAACGAACGGCTGCAGGACGCGTCGCAAGCTGTCGGTGTCGAGCAGCCGGAAGCGGTGCGGATGCTTCTGATGCGGAAGGCGGGGCGATCGCATCGCCGCCCCCCGAATATATGGGGACAGAAGGATCGGGGAGGCCCTGCCGCAGCCGATGACGGATGAGCCGGGCGCCGGTTGTCGGCGGGGGACACGGCATCCGCCGTCCCCGGATCATCATCGGAGCGACCTCGACCTAGTCCTCGGACTATTCGCCCTTGGCGGCCTGACCCAGATGGCCTCCGCCCCGCCACAAGCGGCCCTGTTTTCCGCGACGGCCGCCGACCCGGCGGGTGGTGGAGGCGGGCCCGGCGTTTCCTGCAACTGATCGACCGGGGCGCTGGGCCGAGAGCTACCGCCTGGACGACCAGCAGCGTTGCAAGCTCAACAACAGTGGGGTCCAAATGGCGGACGTCAGCGCGCGGACGCTGCTGCAGATGGTGTCGGGTGACCTTGTTGGAGCAGGACGACATTCCCGCGCCACCGCCGGTTATCGGATGGTGCGTTTCAATACGCGGTTCGGGACCTCGGCGGACATCGTCGAAACGCTGACGCTGGAGCGCGAAGACGGCGCGTGGCGGGTTGCGGGCATTTATGTGGGGGTAAGGAGGGGCCTGATCGTCCGGTCGCGTTCGTTTCCGTGAATTCCACGGCCGTTCAGCCTGAGCGAAGTCGAAGGCCACGGGATGCCATTTGTGGCTGTGTCAGGGCGTGCACTTCGACTTCGCTCAGTGCGAGCGGAGGTTGGGGCAGGATGATTGCGTGCACATTCCGGGCGATCAGATTAGGAGGCCGACATACAGCATGCCTCTCGGAGACCGAACCGCCAGCCACGCCGCCCCGAAACCCGCTTCTTCGACAGCTTGATGGCACTCGATCGCCTGGCGCGAATTGGGGAGGGGCGTAATGGTCGTTCGATCCATGGCTATTTCTCCGACGCCTACACCAACTGGATTCGTTACGGTCATGTTGCCGCCACCGCCGCCAAGGGGCTACCGCGATCATGCCTGATCTGCGCATGGGGAAAGCGGCAGCCTGCATGATCCCGCCGCCTATCCCGCTGATGCGCTGACGCGGGATGGCTATGCGCCGGTCGGAGCATCTGGGGCTGACCGACTATGATCTGGCGGCTATTCGCTGGCGCGCGGACCGTGTCGCGGATGCTGCACGACGGGGGTGGAGCCGGGCAAGGCGATCTTTGCGGGCATGGGGCTGGAGGGGCTGCCCATACCGATCGCCGGGTCGAGCATTTCCTCAATATCCTCACCTGGCTGGGCGAAGGCGCGGCAGTCCAGGAATGGATGGCCGAGGCGTTCCGGAAGACGACCGGCGGCGATCCGGTGGCGCTGCTCCACATCGAAGACCTTTGCCGACACGCCGCTGTCGGCCATCGAGGGGCTTCGGTCTTCCTGCACTGGTCGCCGCGGAGCCGAGGATTTCGACAATGGCGCCGCCGTCGATCTGGCCGATGCCTGCCGCGCGGCCGCTATGTCGAGATACCGGCAATCATATGAGCTCCGGTGACGAAGCCCGAGTTGGGGGCGGCGATCGCGCAGTTCCTGATGGCTTGACGGCGGCCGCCAAAACCGCGCAACTGCGCGCCATCCGCCCCGCTGCGAGGGCGCTTCGGTGGATTGCGTAGGGGGATAGCATGATCCGTACCGCCGTTTCGGCACCATACTCGCCATGGCGCTGGCCAGCACTGCCTTAAGCCAGACGACCGCCTGCCGCGCCGACGCCGACGACACCGGCGACCGTCGCCTCGGCTGATGCCTTTGTCGCGGACGCCGAAAAGACGCTGGCCGAAAAAGTCGTTGCCGGCGCAGCAGATCGCTTGGTCAACGCGACCCATATCACCGACGACACCGACGCTGGCCGCCGCGTCGGGCGCGGAGATGACCGACCTGCTGTCCGCTATATTCTGGGCGCGGCGCGCTATCAGGCGCTACCGGGCCTGTCAAATGACACCAAGCGTAAAAGCTCGACCTGCTGCGCGGCGGGATCACGCCCGCGCCCACCACGTCAAGGCGCTTCGGCGCAGCTGTCGTGCTGACCACGCGCATGTCCTCCTCCCTAAGGGCAAGGGCCTCTCGACGTAAGCTGATCAACGGATCCGGATATCGAGAGCGGCGATGGGCAGCGAGCGCGATCGCCCGCTTGAAAGAGATGTGGGTCAGCTGGCACGACAAATGTCGTGGTGCACCGATGCGCGCCGATTATGCCCAGATGACGACCCTCGCCAACCGTGGTGCTGGCGAACTCGGCGCTGATGCCGGCGCGTTGTGGCGTTCGGGCTATGACATGAGCCCCGAAACAGTTCGCGCAGCTGACCGGCCAAGATCTGGGGCGAGCTGGAGCCGCTGTACAAGGCGCTGCACACCTATGTCCGCTGGAAGCTGAGGCGAAAAGTACGGCGATGCCGTCGAATGAAGCGGCCCTGATCCGCGCCGATCTGCTCGGCAAATATGTGGGCGCAGGAATGGGGCCAATATCTATGACGTCGTCGCCCCAAGGGCGCCGGCGATGTCGGATATGACACCGGCGAGCTGCTGAAGGCCAAGGGCTATGACCCGATCAAGATGGTCAAGGCGGGCGGTGGAGAATATTCATCGCTGGGCTTCCGCGCCGTTGCCGAAGACCTTCTGGAGCGGTCGCAGAGATCACCCTTTTCCGCCGATCGCGAGGTGATCTGCCACGCTTCGGCTGGGACATCGACAATCTGGACGATATCCGCATCAAGATGGGCAAGGTGAATGGCGACGACTTCGTTTCATCCACCACGAACGGGGCCATAATTACTTATCAGCGCGCCTATAAGAACCAGCCGTTCCTCTACAAGAACGGAGCGAATGACGGCTTCCACGAGGCGATCGGCGATACTGTCGCGCTGTCGATCACGCCCGATTATCTGGTGAAGATCGGTCTGCCTGATCCCGCCAAGGTGCCGAGTGCCGACAGGACATCGGCCTGCTGCTGCGCCGTGCGATGGACAAGGTGGCGTTCCTGCCTTCGGCCTGCTGATCGACAAAATGGCGCTGGGGCGTGCCGGGCAGATCCCGGCGAGCCAGTATCAGGCCGGCTGGGACGCGCTGCGCCTGAAATATCAGGGCGTGGTGCCGCGGTCGCGCGACGAGACGAAGTCGATCGGCGCCAAATACCATATCCCGGCGGGCGTGCCCTATGCGCGCTACTTCCCGGCGCGGGTGCTGCAGTTCCAGTTCTACAAGGCGGCATGCGAGCAGGCCGGGTGGAAGGGCCGCCCACCGCTGCTCCTTCTATGGCAACGAGGAGGTCGGCAAGAAGCTGAACGCGATGCTGGCGATGGGCCAGTCGAAGCCCCGCCGGATGCGTTGGTCTTACCGGCAGCCGTGAGATGTCGGGCAGGCGCTGGTCGAATATTTTCGCGCCGCTGGAAAGTCTGGCTGGACTAGCAGAACAAGGCAAGCCGCAGGGTGGTGATGTGCGGCCTCCCCGGGCTGGCTTGGGAGGGCTCGCCTTGAGGGCGTTGTCGCTGGCGTTGCTGGTTTGTACGAGCAGCGGCCCTCCCTGACGGGGGAAATGGGGGAGCCACCAACCTCCGTTCAGCCTGGAGAGAAGTCGAAGGCCAAGGGAAACCCCGTCTGCTGGGCGATTGTTGGGCGTGGGCTTCACTTCGCTCAGCCTGAACGGTGAGGGCGCCGCGTCGCCTCAGTCCCCCTGACGCTCACCTCATCATCCCGCCTTTGCGCTGCTCCCCGCAATGACAGCAGCGCGCCACGCCGGCAAAGGCCGCGGGCTTCAGGATCGACGCTACCCCATTTGCCGCCGACCTTGTCGAGGGGCCCGCCTTGCCCAGCGCCGGTGCCGGCGCGCGGGCTTGATCGCCGTCGGTTTGCGTGGCGGTGCCTTGCGCGAGTCGTGCGCGCTTGGTCGAGCGGGTTTGGGCGGCGCCTTTCGGCTTGGGCGCTGCGGGCGCTTCCGGCGCCATTCCCAACCGGCTCAGCAGGCGAGGGTGCAGTCGGCTCCCCTCTACGACCTTCGGCGCGGGGGCGTTTGCGCGGGCGGTCGTACCCGCCGTTTTCGGACTGGCACGGCGGCGCGGCGGGCGGCTTTTTTTGGGTCCGGCGTATCGACCATGACGAGAAACCCTGTTTCGGTTCGTATCCGTAACGCACCGCCCCCGCGCCGGTTGCCGATCAGCGGAAGGGCGGCTCGTTGAAGGGCGCGCAGCTTGCGGTTGTGCAGCTTGTCCCCTCTTCGGCGGAGCTGTTCGCAGGTCTCGATGCCGATCCGCATATGCTCGCTGATCGCGCTCATAGAAGCGGTTGGCCCGGCTCGGCAGCTTCAGCTCGCCGTGCAGCGGCTTGTCGGACACGCAGAGCAACGTGCCATAGGGCACACGGAACCGATAGCCTGCGCCGCGATCGTCGCCGACTCCATGTCGATGCCGACCGCACGGCTGAGCGAGAAGCGCAACGCCGACTTGGAGTAGCGCAACTCCCAGTTGCGATCGTCGGTGGTGACGATCGTGCCGGTACGCAGCCGGCGCTTCAGCTCGTCGCCCGACTGGCCGAGACGATCTCGGCTGCCTTGGCGAGCGCGACCCGACCTCGGCGATGGCGGGAACCGGGATTTCGGGCGGAGCACGTCATCGAGGACATGGTCGTCGCGCAGATAGGCGGGCCAGCACATAGTCGCCGATCCGCTGGCTGGGCGGAAGCCCGCCGCAATGGCCGATCATCAGCACGCCCTCGGGCAGCGCGACGGCCAGATGGTCGCAGATCGTCTTCGCATTGGAGGGACCGACGCCGATATTGACGAGCGTGATGCCTGTGCCGTCTTTGGCGACCAGTGATAGGCCGGCATCCGATGCCGCCGCCACGCGCTGTCGGTGACGATCTTGTCGACGTCTTCAGGGCGTTCGATGACGATCCCGCCCGCGCCCGACAGCGCGGTGAAGCGCGAACCCTCGCCCAGTTGCGACGCGCCCCAGCGGACGAATTCGTCGACATAGCGGTGGTAATTGGTGAACAGCACATAGCGCTGGCAATGCTCGGGCGGCGTGCCGGTGTAATGGCGCAGGCGGGCGAGCGAGAAGTCGGTGCGCAAGCCGTCGAACAGCGCCAGCGGACGATTTGCCGTCCGCCGTCATCCATAGCCATCGGCGATCTCGTCACCGATATGCGCCAATTCGGTCGCCGGGAAGAAGCGTGCTAGTTCGGCCGCCGACACCTGATCGAGGGCTCAGCGCATGGCCGGGATCGAGCACATAGGGGAAGGGATTTCCTGTCGCCCCTGGCACCGCTTCGACTGAGACGTCATAATCTTCCATCAACAGCGTGAGCTGCTCGGTGATAGTCCTTGAACAAGGCCGGCTTTGGTGACGCTGATCCGGTAATCGCCCGCCGATACCAGCCGCCCGAAGGACCGCATCGGCGTTGGACGGCCGCCTTCGCCGCGATAGACCAGCCGGATTTCCGGGATAGGCGACACCCCTGTGCGCGGGCATCCGGGCTGGGCGTGGTGCCGTCCTGAAGATAGCGGTCAGGGGCCTCCTTCAGACGCGTGACGGAGGCGGTATAAGGCGGTCGAGTTCCTCGACGATTTGAACAGGCGAGTCATGCCCTGGGAGCTGGGCGCTGTCGCCCATGCTGGCAAGCCGGACCCCTGGGGCGGCGATAGGGCGGAAGGCGATGGATCGCCTTCGCCGGACCGTCAGGCACCTGGGCCGAATTCTCGTCATCGCCCGTGCTGCGCAGCTTCGACGCGCCGAACGCGGCGCCGGCGTTTTTTGCCGCGGCAACGCCCGCCGCGATACTGGCGGCGGCATAGGGATGACCCCTCACCTTCTCACCCGCGGCCTTGGCTGCACTTTGTGCCTTTTTCGCTGAAGCTCTTGGCACGGCCTGCTTCTCGGGGGACATAGGTGGTCATGACCGTTTTTCCTCTTTCATCCTGTGGACAGTTAAAAAACGCGCCGCCGGTGGTCGCTGTTCCACCAGCGATCCGATCGACGGCGCGGTTGGGCGGGCCAGATCTGGCTGAGTGGATGTTCGGCCGAG